TTCCTTTTTACTTCCCTCTTGCCCTACCATCATGTTCGGCCTTCATTCAGGTTTAGTAATTCCTTGCTGCTACATTGCCCTTGATGGAGCCCCACTAGGCATCCTACACCTTCCTTCCATTGCTTTTAGTTCACTTGTTCCCTTGTCTCTGGGTTGGTATCTGGCCCCCTTCCTTTCTCCCACCTCCCCTTCTCCTGTTCCCCCAGGAACCATTCTTTTCGAATTATTTATCCCACCTATCTTATCTAGACATGTAGATATATTAATAAGTGAAAAATCCAGGCAAAGCCAAATAAAACAATAAAGGAAGTCAAAACCAACAAAACAATAACAACAGCAAAAAAACAAAACAAAGACAAAATAACAATAACAAAAAGAAAGCCACTGACAAAAATGGAAAAGCCTATAAATAGTTCAAGGTCTGTTTGTTGGTCTTTACGAGTGCTTTCTAGTTGAGTCTGATGGGTGCCACACTCTGTCTCCCAAGTCTATTTTTGGTATTCCCCGGGGATTTCATCACTCTGCTTCCCCTGCTGCTCTGCTGCATGCCCTCAGTGCCTCACCCCAGCGTGATGGGGCCAGGCTGTGCACTATTGTCTCCAGTGCTGTCCCCTGCAGCACCATGGTTCAGTGAGGGACACCGTGTCCCATGGTGGGGCCAGCCCTACAGTCCTCCCCGTGTGTTGTCTGCTCTGAGCAGGAACATCGTCCTTGGGGCTTGGTGGGACAGGATGTCCTCTCCTACTTTTCCATCCCTTTGTATTTCTCCCAAAGACACAGTACTTCCAATTACTTCATATCTATTTGAAGTTTGGAAATGGAATCAGGAATAGCAGGAAAGAATGATGTGTTTGAGCTGTGATGCTGGCAAGAACATGGAAAGTTCCATGGACCGCCCAAAGCACAGAGCTGCCTTTGGAGAAGTACAGCCAGAATGCTCCTTTGGAGCTAGGATGGGAGACTTCTTCCCACATACTTTGGACCTGTAGCTTAGAGACACCAGTCCCTGGAAGAGGGAATCATGCGTGGTCAAGTATCAGGGCAAGGGAAATGAGGAAGACATTCCACAAGCTGGACTGACATAGTGGCTGCATTGAGGATGTCAAACATAAGAAACAATGACGAGGCTGGCACAGGACTGCGCAGTGGCTCATCTATGGTAAGCAAGGCACCCAACAGCACCAACTTCTGCTCCTCAGGCTTGGTGGTCTATACGTTGATTAGGAAAGTCTTGTGACTCCTTTATGGCTAAAGGATTTTTCCTACATGCCAGTGTACACATATATGCCTGGAGCAGGCTGAAATTTGATATTCATTTTGAGGCTGCAGAAGAATGAATAAACCGGTCTTGGAAGAAGTACCATCAGAATGCCCCTTAGAAGCAAGGTGACAAGACTTTGCTGTATGTCTTTTGCACATATCACCAGGAAAGACCAGTTTCTGGAGAGGGAGGGCATGCTTAGCCGAGGACAGGGTCAAGAGGAAGGCTCTCAATGAGCTGCGTCAGTGCAGTGGCTACGACAGTGGGCTCAAGCCTAAGAACGTTGTGTGGGTGGCAGAGGACCTCCCAGTATTTTGTCCTGTTGCAAACAGAGCCACTGCATGGCACTGAACAGTGATGACATGGGTCTCATGGCTACAGCAAGTGGGTTTGATTGGGGTCTTGGGGAGAATAAATACCACCTTGCAAGTCATCTTGCCTGGCAGGCTTCTCACAAGGTTTACAAGCCAGAGGGCTAATCTCCTCAGACACAGGAGGGAATAATGTTACTTTGGTTCATAAGGGAGGCTCAGTTGATTTTAAGGTTCAAGATTTTCAGTTTCTTCTGGGCCCAATCCTCCTAATCCCATTTCATGTTTCAGTATCCCACTCCTTAGCCAATGCCCTACCTGTCACATGAGATCGTTGGTCGAGTCAAACTGTCATTATCATTCCGTTTCTTACAAAATTCAAGTCTGTGTTTGAGTTTCAGCAATATCAGATCTATGGCTACCAGAATGGAAAGGTTGTTTTAAGGTTGTCACAGCGACTCTCAGGTTCCCAGGTTGTGATTTTGAGCAAAGAGATACAGTGTCTGGGTTTGATGTTTTATTGCTGTTGTTTTGTTTTTCTGGAAGTGTTTGCGAGCATTTGAGAAATCCACCCCACGCCCTAGTCTATAGTCATTGTCACTAGCCTAATGCAAACGGTAGTACCCAGCCGGGCTCCCGACATGTGTGCTTCAGTTGATCCCTTATCAGAGCCAGCCACCAGTGATAGCGCGACTGGGATGTGACTGCTTGACATCGCCACTAGCATCTCATTTCCAGTTACCAAGGAGCTCAAAATCATATTCAAAGATATGACCTAACTAACAAAACAAAACAAAAAAATCCCATCTTTACAGTTCTAGCTCTTGGAATCACCCCACTTCTGGTTCCAATTCTGTATCAGTCAGCATATAACCAAGAGACCAAAATCACAGTAATTTGAGCTTGAATATTTTAATATAGTCATTAACTGTAATAGATGATTGGAGCAACAAATAGCTGGCTAGTAAGAAATAGAGGTCTCTATGGAGAGACACTATGCCCAGTTGGTGACATTTATTCGGCATAGATTTCCTGCACTAGGACTTTAAGAAAAATAACAAACCCCCAATCTCTTTGGTATTTCCTTCATGTGATAGAAGGTTGCTAGGTTCAGAATTAGGTATTGTCATTGCCTGAAAGGGGCATCAGAGATATTTGGGGCTTTCTTGAGTACAAAGCGGATCTTTGTCTTAGCTTAGCCCACTTCTTATCTTCTCTGCCAGGGCCAAGTGTGGAAGGGTTGACATCTCCCCAATCAATAAAATCAAACTCACCAGGGACCCAGTTTATGGAAGGATTTCCACACTTGCTGCACCCAATTCATGCTCCAAGGGTCACTACTGGATGCCCCTTATGTAACTGGCGACAGCATTCACAATTCTCCGGGAACACGGGAAAGAGAAACACTTCTTATCAAAGAAGAGGAGGGCTCCGTGGAAACCATCCTCCACATGGTAGGAGACCACAGGGACCCTCAGGTCCTCCAGCCTCTTCTTGTAGAGCAGGGCGTCATCCCGGAAAATGTCGTTCTCACAGCTCAACAAGAAGGCCGGAGGTAACCTAGCCACTACCTCATCATTAGCTAGTAAGGGTGAGAAGCGTTGATCGAAAAGAAGCCCTGTCTCCAGAAAGGCTGCCTCATGAAAAGGGGCCGAAACAGGTGGTCGGTAGTTGCTTGGTTTGAATTTCTTGGGTATGTTGTCTGCACTGAGCCACTTTTGGTATTTCTTCCAGAGCTCCGGGGACCTAAAGGAACCATTCAGCATGGCATCCCACCAGGAGTGGTTGATGGACATGCAATCACACAGACACGTCAGCATGAGCGTCTGAGTGAGGAACGGGACGTTTTTGTAGCGCTGATGGGATGGCAGCTGAAGATTGATCGCCTGGAGAAAGGGGCAGATCATGATCTGCGCTCGGATGCGGGGAAGATCCGACCTTGCCAACAATTTCCGGCAGACATAACCTACAAAGGTACCACCAATGCTTTCTCCCCCGACCAGAACGAGGGAAGGGTCGACCCCATAAGTTTGAAGATTTCTCAGGAAGTGAACGGAGGCAGCGTAGCAGTCTTCTGCCATCACCATCCCAAAAGAGTCTGGATACAAACGGTACCTGAGGCGGAAGCAGAAAGCACAATCAGACTGAGGTGGGTGAGGGTTGTGGGGATACTGTTTGAACTGGGCCCTCAGATCCCCAGCGCTCTGCATCTGATTAGATTCTCACAACAGTCCAATGGTGTAGGTATTTTTATTGCCCACCCCCATGAGAAAGAGAGGGGGTTGTCTTTCCTCAGACACACAGGGATTCTTTACTTCCCCAGCTAGGCTCGGTCTGCTTCCCATGTATCTAGAAACTCCGTGCCAGATTAGACCACGGGACAGCTTTTTATGAAGGATGCAAAGCCACCTGCAAAATGAGCCGTTACCAAAGGCTCAAGTAGAAGGAAAATGTTTTGAGAATGATGATGGCAACATATGTACAAGTGTGCTTGACACAAAGGTTGGATGGATGGATTGTGATAAGAAATGTAAGAGTCCCCAATAAAACGATTAACAACCCAATAACAACAAACCCATCTGTGATTACAGAAAGGGTCAAAGAAGCCACCGCCAGCTCCATTGTCCAAACAGGAATGGAGTAGCGCTACCAGAAGGGTAGGGGGACGGTGGGGAGAGGAGGGAAAGGGAGAGCCTATCGCAACGATGGACACATAACCACATCCCACCACACCTCCTTTCAGGGGGATGAACAAAAGAAACCGTGGGGGAAGGGAGACAACAGTTGGTGTAAGGTATGCAAATAATAATAATTTATAATTTATCAAGGGGTCACGAGGATGTGGTGGGGGGAGGGAGGGAAATAAGAGGAGCTGATACCAAGGGCTCGATAGACAGTAAACATCTAGGAAAGAATGATGGCACCATATGTACAAATATGCTTGACGCAATTGATGTATGGATTGTCATAAGAGCTGTAAAAGCCCCCACTAAAAAAAAATCTTAAAAATAAAGAAAGGAAAAGTTCAAATCAAAGAGAAGTTTCTTGTTTCAGAAGTTTTAAATAGCAAAGGCTTCTTATCCCATGACTCCAAAGAGTGGCCTTTGTTTCTTTGACAGAGGACTAGAGGAGGAGTTGGAAGATGATCCAAAAATAAAGACGTGGAAAAGGTGAGCTAGGGCGGTATGGACATCATGGGCTCCAGGCTGGGCTACTAACCAGGGATTAGCGATTCAAAATGGCCAGCTGCTCCCCCTCGAGAATGCCAAGGCTTTCTGCTCCCGTAACTACTTCACAGTCTCAGAAAGCCACACGGGCAGCTGTGCTCTGCCGACTCATGACCAGTCAGCATCAACTTGCTGGCAGTGAGTCTGGGTTGTTTCCACCAGGCGGGAGGCAGGCACGGTCTCCTCAACCGAGGGAGACGCCTGTACGTGACTGATGAGAAGCTTACGAAGGGGAAGTTAGTTGAAAGTGGTGTGAAAAGTCCCCAAAGGTCCCTCCTTCCGGGAGTAAAAGGGCAAGGAGCAGGAACTTTAAGATGAACTTAAAAAAATGTTAAAATGCTTGAATCGAGATTCAGGTAATAGAAAATGTTTGCATTTTTAAAAAGAACAGCTTGGCTAATCTGCTTGGATTAAACCGTTTTAAAAAGTTTACTGAGGTCATACTTCTCTATTCGAGGTTGTCCGTACATTGGTGCTTCTTTCCTTACATTTGGTCACTCAAAAGCACCAAGAAAGACATAAGACCTGTACTATTTGGTTTGGAAGAAATGGTAAGGGAAGATAAGATCTTAGTCTAATAATGGAAGAACTGGACACTTGGGAAAGAAACCTTATCAGAGAAGAATGTTGGTTTGTATTATCATTATCACTTCAACTCCCTGGTGACTAGTACTTCCATATTTTTCATCTTTTTGTTTTTAACCTATAACTTAAGATAGATTTAAAATGAGTTGGATTTTCTCTGAAGTTAGACAATCTCTGCCTTTGAATGGAAATGTTTTAGTGATTTACATTTAATGTAACGATGGATATGTTTCTTTGTTGTATTTTAGACAGGTGTTTCTAGAGTTGGCAATAATCACTTGTTATTGTATACCTTCTAATGTTTTGAACTATTTTACATGTACCTACCTTACAGTTGCATACTAGTCCTCACCTCTAGAACACCGCTATTTTCATTAAACAGTTTAATGATATACTTTATAAATCTCAAAAAGAAATCTTGGTCTAGAGGTTTTCAAATGTTGTTAGGACAACAAAAGTTCTTTTCTCTATTGAAATAACAGAAGGGGCCCTACTGCGTAAAATGCCAAAGTGTAATTGTTCTGCCTCTATCCAAGAATGAAGGGCTGAGTGCTGACTGTCTTCATCTTCCCGGGCCTCCACAGCTACGACTAAAGACTTAGTGCACTAAGGAAGCCACTTTGAAAGTCACGGTCTTCTCTAGCCCTTGACTAGAGAACCTTTCCAAGGTTGCTCAAAGTCATCGATTTTAAATAGAGGGCTTGATGGGACAATTTGTAACTTCTCAACATTCCCTCCATGAACCATGTATGGATGAATAGGTCAATAGTATTAAGCTGGGTTCACATCGAAGCCCAGGCAACATATGAGGTCCTCGTGCTACATGTGCGGGTCCTTGCTCGGAGGTGGCTCTAGCTCCTGGTAGCAGCAAGCACGTGCTTCAGCTTCTACTTCTAGGTGAGTGCTCCTCACCCACATGCTGAATATATGAACCTGACATAAAAAGAGAAATAACAAAGGTCATGTGCTTACTCTTTGAGCAAGAGCACTCACTCACCTCTCAGAAAAAGGGAGCCATGCCCTCCATGCGTTCCTGTTCTCTTCCCTGTGCACCCACAGCACATCCCTACCTATGGTCGCCAGTCAGCGGGTAGGGGGCCCTGTGCTGAGGCTGATGGGTGTAATGTTAGAATCAGGGCCGGGAGGGTCCAGAACCTAAACATTTCTTTTTTTAGCTCCTCTCAAGGAGTCTTCTCCCAGACATACTGCTTCATCTCCGTCCTCTGACAACCTGAAGCCACTTACCTGCCCTTTGAATGCCATCAGCCACTCCATCAAGCTGTGTTTTTCCCTGCAGAGTTACCATAACACCCAGCAATTCCACTCTGAACTATATAAACATCTCAAGTGTCATGAACAGGTGGATGGCTAAACAATGTGGTATCTGCAGACAGAAGTATTATTTAACCGTCCAGAGAAAAGATGTTCTGATAAATGCTACAACATAAACGAATCGTGAAGACATTGTGCTGAGTGAAATAAGCCAGACGTAAGAAAAGACACAAGAAAAGACAAAAGGGCAAATTCCTACATGAACTGTCTAAAATAGGCAAATCTATAGATTCCAAACGTTCCTAGTGGTCACCAAGGGCTGAGGGGGCAGGGGAATTATTCTCAGAGGGAGCTCCCTTCCTTCCCTTCCTTCTCGTTTTTTAAGTACATATGAGATCACCATAAGTCAGATTCAACTTTAAAAATCCGACTTAAAAAAAAAAATCCGACTTTTCCTTTTGAAATAAAAAAAAATTAAATTATGGGTTGGGTGAAGGTTTACAACACTGTTCAGGTTTCCTTTCAACAATCTATACACAGTTGATACCATGTCTTTGTTTGAACCCCCCACATCCCACTGCCTCCCAGGGTTCCCTATTTCCAATCCTCCTTTCCTAATTGCACCGAAGAGAAATTATTTGGTAGGGGTCTGCTATCTATGTAGGCTGCTGTAACTCTCACCAAATGACGGGGTGGAGGCAGATGAGTTCGTTGTGGAAGACTCTCACGAGGGGATTAGTCAGCTTTACTCAGAGCCGTCTCAGAAAGAACAGGCACTCCCATGAGGGCTACCGGAGGGGACCCCTGAGCTGAGCCGAGCTGAGCTCCTGGTGCGGAGGAGTGCTTAACAACAGCACCAGGCAGGAGAGTGAGGTGGCTTGCAGAGTAGGGTGCCCTTTAGGTTGTTAGTAGGGCTACAGGAGCTTTGTAACACTTGCCCAAGCAGGACAGTAGGAACAGGTAAGAAGCATTCTGTGGACAAAAGAATTGCAGCCTTACCTTTCTGATACCGACTTGCTTCTCTATTAAATCCCATGATCAGAGCACTCTATTGTCTGGGAGTTCTTTGTGGCTATTGCCATAAATGATTGAGCACAACAGAGAGCTAGAGGGCCATGAGAGGGACGGTTGGTGTCAGAGTAGGATAAAGAAGATTGGACGGCGAAGACATGCCTCATGGGAATTGGGCTGCTGTGGGGGTGGATTTTTCTTCCCTTAGAGAAGTCAGTGGTGACCCCATACCATTTCCTCACTAACCCTTCTAAACTTTGTCCTTGACAAATACTGCCCGTTGGATCTCAAATAGGTGATTACCCTAACATATGCACATACACCCCTCGCCAGTGCTAATGTTTTCCTTACAGACCCGTCTATTGTTTGGCTGAAAATTGAGCCATGGAGGTGAATTCATTTCCATGCATTACGGGTGACTAAGGGTCATCGTCTTAGATTCTCTATCTGACCAGTCTGCCTTATCTTTTTTATGATTGTTGAATTTTGTTCCATATTTTTGGCTCACTCTCTGTAGGATCTTCTAATGTGATCCCTTGAAGAGCAAGTAGTAGTGGCAGCCGGGCACCGTTGTAGACTTTCTGATCCCAGGGCGGTAGAGGCTCACGTGGACCTGAGCCTCTCGTTCACTGCCCTCCTTGTTCCACCATGTCTTCAAGTTTCTTTCCTCCAGTCAGGGAGAGACCGATGGCTGCACGTTAAGTGGCCATTCAAGAATGCAGTCACTAGTCATCCAAGTGGCACACGGTCTTGGTGAACTGGGTTATACCAGTTGCCCTTAAACAAACCCGTTCTGTTCCAGGTGATGAAAAGGGTTTACAAATGGATAGTGGTTACGTCTGTGTGGTTGTTTTCAGATGTTATTAAGTTGGCTCTGGGTCGTAGCGGCCCTATGTACAGCAGAACAGAACAATACCTGGTCCTCTAACGAGTGTCATGTTTGAGCCCATTGTTGCAGCTCCTGGGCCAAGTCATCTGCTCTAGGGTCTCTTCCGCTTTCTCCCTGACCCTGTACTTGAC